TTAGAAGCACATAGCAACTGCTGAGGTAGCTGCTCTTTTGTTATTAGTCAGGCCACACAGAACAGAGCAGCAATAATTTCTCCAGTTCACTGGACACAGCCAGTCTAGTGTAACCCTACCTCACACTTTAACCCAGTGGTCAACATTGAGCAATAGGCCCTATCAGTTCTAACAGTGCCCATACCCTCAAATGGATCCCTTCTCTATGTGGAAGTGGGCCACAGCCCTTGGCAAGCTCCTAGATACCCTACCCGACTCGGGCGGCCCAGGATCTTGGAAAGTTTCCTTATTGGCCTAAATGCACGTTCATCCCTAAATGTATCAGGCCCCAGCAGGAACCAACAATGGTGAGATAGGAGAGAATTGGACCACTCTCATCCCTGCGTGTCCTGTTGACTCCCTGCTTTGAGCCCTGCATAAAATCTGTTTCAGGAGTTGCTCATTGTGTTACAACTGCAGTCCATGCCTTTGATGTGGCAGTTCCTGGAAGACTTGTAGCCCCCATTACACCCTCTTACAACTCCACTCCAGCTTTGGAGATGAGCAGGTAGGGGCCTCAACTGGGGATGGTAAACCAGGTGAACCCTTCCTCTATAAACTCGAAGTCTCCATAGACTTCAGACCATAGGCAGAGGGGTCTGAGATAGGATGGATCAGCAGATCACACACAGGGAGGCAGGGCTCTGATGTGTGCAACAGACAGACAGAGTAGTGTGTTTTGCTCCCATTTATTTGTTGTGTACTCAGGGCATGAATCGGGGCTGGTGTACTTCCCCTGATCCCAAGAGAGAGCCCAAGGACAAGCTACACTATCATGGGGAACTGTAAGGGCTGATGGAGCCAGGGGAAAGATCCATATGTTCTGTTCTGACTTACAGAAAAGTCCCCCTGCCCTCAGACTTGGGGGGGCCTCTCTGCCCTCCCATCCCGTGGTCTCAGGTGCAGCGATGTGAGACAAAAAGGAGAGAAAAAGATGAGCTTGTGCTGGATGAAGACATCTCTGTTCTGCATGGCTATTTGGCCCTGGCTGTGACTACAGGGTGCACATTACTAGGCCAAGGGCTGTAGGTTGAGTAGGCACACCTCAGTAGGAATGGTTGGCGACGTAGAGTGACTGTGCTGCTGCTCCACCATCTCCACTGCCTTCATATCTGCCCTGAGCTGCAAGCCCGTTCATCTGCAAAAGAGAACAGGGCCAGGTAAGCAGGCTGAGCCAACCACCAGTGTGGAACCCTGCCTGGCTTGGGACATCCAGGTGCTACACACACTCTCTTCCCAGACATCACGTCTGGCTCCCTACCTCTGCCCGTTTGATAAACTCCTCAGTTGCAGCCCCAGCATTGTCCCTTTGTCCTCTCCAGGCATTGAGTGCAGATGCCTGCAGGGCACGTCCGTAGGAGAAGGTGAGGGCCCAGGGCCGGGGAAGTGGGCAGCGATTGATGGCATTCAGGTTGAGGGATGCCTCCTCTTCACTCTGACCCCCAGACAGGAAAGTCACTCCTGGAGTAGAGGGAGAAGACAAACTGATTGGTCACTGTCTAATTTTTCCAGAGTAAAGATCCCTGTACCACAGAAAAACTCGAAGTCAGACCAGAAGTAATAGGAGCAATTATGTACCTGGGACAGCTGGGGGCACAGTACGACGCAGGGCAGTGACAGTAGCCATGGCGATCTCTTCTGGGCTATACTTGACGGGACAGGCATGACCGGGGGTCACCATGTTGGGCTTGAGCAGAGTCCCTTCCAGGTATACATGATGATCACTCAGGGCCTTATACACAGCAGCCAGGACCTGGGGACCAGAGTTTATGTAGGGCTGGGACCACTGTTTAGTGTGCTATGCACTCCATCCAGGGATGGGTAGAGTTGCAGGAGGTGAGGGTTCAGTTACAGGCTCATTCTCTGAAGCCTGTTTTGGAGTCCTAAGTGAGAGTGCCTGGATCTAAGATGCAGGAATGAGGTCCAGGCACCTGATGGCTGTCCCTGACATGCCTGAGCTCAACTGAGCATTACCTTCTCTGTAACATACTGGCAACGTTTGAGGTCATGGTCGCCATCAGGCAGGATCTCAGGCTCCACAATAGGCACGATACCATTCTGCAAGCAAGGGCATGGTTAATTAGGAGAAGCAGATGTCGGGATAGGAGAAAGCTACGAAAGCATACCTCCACCAGGCATGGGGCACTCATCTAACCACCCAAACCCCAGCACACACCTGCTGGCAGATGCTGGCATAGCGGGCCAGCACATTGGCATTCTCCAGAATGGCCAGTGCGGAAGGTGTACGATCACTGATCTTCAGTACACAGCGCCATTTGGCAAAGTCAGCACCATCCTTCTTATACTGAGCACAGCGTTCCAAGAGTCCATCCAGCCCTGAAAACAGTACCAGCTTCATCACCATGCCCCTATCTTGCCAGCATCAACCATGTCACCACCTCAGTGGGCTTCAAACCCACCCATGACATACCTTGAGTGGTGGTTTCCCCATCAGTTCCAGCTAGAGGCACTACACCCTTGTCAACCTGCAAGGAAAACATAAGTAGAGGGCTGTTCTTGCCACCCCTCCTACATTCACCAGTTTCCACACCCAGTTCCACACCCAGGCAGGGCCAGGGGCTGTACCTTGATGCCTACGAGAATGCCCTTATCCTGGATGGTCTGGACAAAGGGGACACCATTATCATCTTTCTGGTAGAATGTCTCATGGAAGAAGATAACACCACCAATACACTTTTTCACACGGTCATCAGCGCTAAATAGAACCTGGCGGTATAGCCGGCGATTCTCCTCAGTATTCTCTACCCCAATTTGGCTCAGCCTTTTGGCCATGCTGCCTAGAAGCAAGCAAAGGGAAGACAGCTTTGTTCTTTGGCTGGAACTCTTTGGCAACCTCTCCTCAACCCTACCTATAGGCTGTCACTTACCCACGGACTCATCTGCAGCCAGAATGCCTTTGCCTGGGGACACGATCCGTAGAGCAATATCAGATAGCTCCCTCTTCTGCTCAGCAGAAAGAGCTGGGTATGAATGGGGCATGGTGACAGCTGTCTGAAATGGAGACGAGACAAAAAAGCTAGACCCCCAGCTACTAACTTACTCCTCTACTCCTGACCAAACAGGCCAAATGCCCTTCCCAGCACAGCGGTGGGGGCTGAACAGCAGTCCTTGGCCTGAGTCCTGGGCATCAAAGTGGCACCAATCTCTTTGACAGCTAACAGGGTTAGGGCCCTAGTTCCCACATCTCCTTTTGTCCCTGGTGGGCACCCTTCCCAGCACCAGAATGACAGGATGGGGGATGGGGAGGTGGCAGCCCTGAAGCTACAGGTCTTCCTGGAAACTGCTGCCCGGTTGAGAATGCCAAGTCTTCTTGCATTGACTCTGGCCCCTTCTTGAAGTAGACATAAGACCTGCCTTTTCTTGCTTCCCTTTTCTTCAAAAGGGCCCCAAAGAAAAAACAAAAACACAGTTTTCCAAGGTTTGTGAATGAAACATTTAACCCACATCATCCTTCCCCACATCTAGAGGAAGGCAGAGACAGGTTAAAGGGTAACAGTGGTACAGATAACAGCCCCAGCCTTCTATCCCTCTTCTTTTCCATACTGAACCCCAACTGCCTGCCTGTGCCACTACCTACTCCTCATACCTGTGTTGGAGATTGGCCCCAGAGGGCTGCAAGTATGGTAGGAAAGAGGGCCAAGAGACTGACTAGATTTACATGAGAGGACAAGAAAGGACACCACCAGGTCATTTCCAGTACCCAACATTCCCCAGTGTGCGAGGAGGTACGGGAAATAAGAAGGCTTGGCTCCCCCAACTCAGACTCCTAGTGGGGATCCAGAGGCAAAGGGTTAAGGTTGAGTGAGTGGAGTGTGGGGAAAAGAGAAAGATGCAAGAGAAGCAGGAAGGAGCATTGGGGGAAGGTGGGATGCTGATGGTGATGCAGGGTAACCAGTCCTGATGCTCTTCCTGGGCCTATAGCCTAGACCTGGGGACTAGTCTAGAAGGACCAGATACAGATTAAAATGCCCTGGGTGGGAGAGGCTAACCCAGTGAAAAAGTCCTTGAGGCTGAGTAAGACTAGGAACTGGGAAAACTGAGTTCTGGTTGGGAGAGCTAGGAGGAAGGGGTTAGCAGGATTTCCCTGAGCCACAGGGCTTCAAGCACAGAAAGCAGAGGAATAGAAAAGGTACACCAGGGCCACAGGGAGCAGAGCAAGGACCACAGGGGAAGAGCCAAGGAGAGGAAACAGGGATGCTGAGCATCTCTGTCTTGCTTGGGAACTTACCTGTACCAGTCAGCGGCAGGAGCCACAGGTACCGCTCACTTAGGGTCTGGTTAGCAACAGACAGTAGCTCAGTCCAAGCTGGAGTAAATAAGGCAGCAGATGCCGCAGAGCTACGTGACTCCTTGGGGGCGGAGCAGACACCTCCCGTGCTGGGCCCGCCCTCTTCCCTCGACTGGTCTGGGGTAAGGCCACGCCTTCAGAGGTGGAGCAGTGAGGTGGAGTGACTCTGCCAGGGTCCCCAAGGTTGTTAAAGACAGTGCCCCTCCCACATCATGGAGCCCTACCACCAGAACCCTAGAGGAGTGAGATGGCCTTGTGTTTGTGTCAGGGATCCATCTTCTGCTGTCAGCGGGTGGGAAGTGGGACAGAGGCCCACCTAACAGGGTGCCCCAGTTCAAGGCATGGAATAATGAGATTGAGTTTCTGCTCTCTGCCCCACATTTACCAGTGCCTACCCCCTGGGGATGGGGAAAGTAAGTGAATGGAGCCTTTTCTGTTACCCCCAGGCAGTGATCCAGGGAACAGGCAGTCCATTGCCCATTATTAGTGGAAGCAAGAGAATCAAGCAAAGAAAAGCAGACAGTCCTGGCTTTAGCTGCAACAGGAGATGGTGAGGGGTTGTAAGAGGTGCCCAGGCTGGAGGGTTGAGCTGCCTCCCTGACTTCAGCTGCCCACTCCTACCCCAAAAATAAGATCCAGTAGATGTGAGAACTACATTAAATATACTTTATTTAAATAGCATAAAACAGTTGGCTGTATGCCAATTCCTATTACTGGGGTAAGGGATCCTGAAGGAAAAAGGAAAGAAGTGGATGGAATCCAGCCTTCAGTTTCTTTGCTGTGTTGTCCACCGTAGTCTCATACTCTTAGGAGTGAGCAAGCCTCCTGCCTCGGCCTCCAGAGTAGCTAGGACTACAGGTGCATACCACTAGTCCACTATTTTCAGTTTCTTAGCTCAGAAACTCCAGCAGTCCCTGTAACTCCTTGCAACTCTTCACTACCTCTGGGACAGACAGCAGGGTCTGGAAAGAGACACAGAAAGCACAAGGCTGAAGCCAAAGCTCCTGGCCCATGAGGCTGGAGGAGAGAGGCCCATTGGAAGAGGCCAGGCTTAGCTCCCAGCACAGGCTGAGAACCAGAGTTGAGCACTCCTCAGTTCTCCTGCAGACAGGTCCTGGTACCTCCCTCAATTTTACCTCATAGATATGCTGAATAGTGTCATCGAGTTTCTTTAATTCAGTGTCAGAGCGCCGAAGGTTCTCCTCAAGAATGCTCCTCTAAAATACAAACAGGCTTTGTAAGCCCTACACTTAAAGACCACAGCTAGAGAAGACATGGACAGCATGGCAGGGCGCTTGCTTGTGGTGGAAGAAAACAGGTCCTTACATGGCTCTGGTACTTGACCACCAGTTGTGTTTTCTCATTTTTCATCTCCAGGAACATGGCCCTCAGTTTGTCCACCTATAAATATGTCCACTTTAACAGGGGCACAGCCTGGGGTCCCCATTAGATAGATGCCCAGCTCCTTTGTTAGCTTCCGAGTTACCTCCTGTGAGAGAGACACTTTTTCCTGGATCCAGTTAGTAGCCATCAGCTGACAGCTGGGGTCTAGCTGGCCCGCCAGGGCTTCCTGGAGCACTTTTGTCTCTGTCTCTGCGTGCCGCAGTAAACGTGTGAGCTGGGTCACCTCCTCCTTGAGACTCTGGGAACAAGAGCAGAGGTAATCCAACAGCACTCGGGGGTCCTTTTTCTCCTTACTTGATCCAGTGGGAAAAGCAGAGGCCCCGAGCAACTCACTATGAGCTCGCCACTCTTGTCTATCTGCCCTAAGATCTTCTCACTCTGCTTCTGTACCACTTCCTGGAGCTCCTTTTCATTCTGGAAAGAAAAAAAGAGGAGAAAGCATTGAGGGAAGGCTAAAGGCTAAAGCCCTTGCCAGAAGGCAGAAGAGAATGCCTGAACTGGGTTCAGCCTTGGCGATTAGTTCCTATCAGTCTACTTTTTCTTCAGGGCCAAGTCAAGCATGGCATATCTTGGTTTCAGAGCTCTGCTTCAATTCTAGACTTTTCTCCTGGGTCTGCTTGAACGTGACAGGTTGGCCCAGAGCAAAGTCTTAGATATCAACTGTCTGACCCTAAAAGGGCAAAACTAGGGCAGTAGTTGGAAAACCCCCACTACCTAGATTCCTAGAGAGTGGCTCCCAGTGGGCTGGTGAAGCCGCCCCAGTTCATCGCCCCACTTTACGGTCCCTCCTTCACCTTGTAGCATAAGCACAAGGCCTGGTTCAGCTTCTCTATGTCTGCTTCCTTTGCCTTCAGAGCTTCCTGATGCTCTTCTTCTTGGTCCTGTAGTCTAGTCTGCAGTTCACAGCTATGGGAGGGAAGAAGTTGGCATCATTCCTGTACTCTGCCCTTGGCATGAGGGGCTCCCTCATCACCACCTATCATTAACACCTCTCACATTTTTCTCTGTAGGGCCCCAATGGCTTCTTCTTTAGACTCCTCTAGCAGAGAAAACAGGCCCTGAAGCTCCAGTAACATAGTACTCATTTCTGCTGGGCTCTTCTCCAGGCCTGGGGTCTCTGAAAGAAGAAGTCCTAGATAAAGTATAGCCCTTCTGCCTAGGACAGGCTACACAACCACATTTCCACAACGTTATGTTCCCCATCCACAAGGTTTCAATATCCGGAACATCACAGATCCCAAAAGACAGGAATAAAACAAGCCCAAGTAGAATCGAGGTTTTTAGAGCAAAGTATTTCTCTCTGCTTTCATCTTTGCTCATCACTATCAGATCTTTGAGAAATGAGGCATGGTCCCTGGAGCCCATCCTAACCTGTAGGCTGAAGGGAAATCATTGATGTTACTCGGGTGAAAGCACTCTTATCACTTCCAAGCAATGGCACAACGGGAACTGGTTCTGGCTCTAAAGCAAAAACAAATCAGGTATGTTCAGCAACCTAGAAAGTCAAGGCCATCATGAGCTCTGTGAAACCGTGTCTCTGAAAAACAATTGCACATGACAAACAAAACAAACACATAAAATTCAAAAAGTCAAACATACCGACAGTCTCTCTGGTGACCCACCAGGGGACCACAGTGGTGGAAGTGGGGAAAAACAGACAAGTCTAGTGGTGTGCCTCTATGCCACCCTCCCTTAAATCCCAAGGTCTTAACCTTCAGCCTCCACAACTGTCAGGGTGTTTTCTGAAGCAGTGCTGTCATTGGGCAGAGGGTGTTCCTGGGCTGGAGCACAGCCTGTCTTGGGCAGAATGAGCTCTGACTCAGCCTAAGGCCAAAGAGAAAAAGCATAATAATCAGCTGTTGAGCAGTACTCAAGGGTGGTTTCCTGAGCTCCGAGATGCTCCTCCCCTTCCAGAGAGCTTCCACTCTACCTTCTGGTCCTACCTCCCACTACTGCCTGAACATCCAATGTGCTTAAGTCTTTCCCACTAAAACAGCATTTAAAATGAAAAAACAAAACCTTAAATCTTGTAGCTACTACTGTCCTTTCTCTTATATTTAATGAGGGGAAGAAGAAAGGGTTGCCTAGAATTCTTACTTATGATTCTCACTACTTATGACTTGACAGCCAAAATTCCTGTGATTAGTACACCACTGGCGTATTTACTTCTTTTTCTTTTCTTTTCTTTTTTTTTTTTTTTTTTTTTTTTTTTTAGGATTTCTCTGTGTAGCTTTGGAGGCTGTCCTGAAACTGCTTGTAGACCAGGCTGGTCTTGAAGTCACAAAGATCCGCCTGCCTCTGTCTCCCAAGTCCTAGGATTAAAGGCGTGCACCACCACCACCCAGTCCTTACTTTCTTTTTTAAAAAATATTATTATTTATTTATGTATATGTGTATCTGTTTGCATGAATGAGGACAGAGGGATGTCGGATCCCCTGAAGCTGGAGTTACAGGCAGTTTGTGAGCTGCCAGATATGGGTGCTGGGAATTGAACTCAGATCCTCTGCAAGAACAGAATGTGTTCTTGACCATTTCTCCAGGCCTGGCATCCTTTATGTTCAAATACAACAGGTACTTCCCAGCTCTTCCTTACTGGGCTTGTTTAATTCTGATGGTCCTGGCCTTGGACCATGGCTGTCCATTGGGGCAGACCTGTTAAGATGCTTCTTTTCTCAGTTCCCAGGTCTTCCTTAGCCCCTGGACTTCACACACCTGCCTGGGCTGTCCTCGGCTCTTTTTTGATGCTACTTCCACCTGAGTGCTTTGCTTTCAGAGCTCTAACAAGCTCCCACTTCAGACTATGGTTTCCACACCAATGACTGTTTAATCCCTTTCACTCAGCTGGACTATTTCCCAGTCTCTGGGCCCAAAGAGAACCAGAATGTCCACATTAAAAACTGGTGTGTATAAAGCTTGGTTCACCATTTTCTCTGAGTCACTCTCAGTTCAGTATTTACTGTTCTAGATCATAACAGGCAGCAGACTGTAGATTGCCAACTGCCCTTGTAATGTTTTAGGAGGACACAGGCCACCTGATCCCTTCAGTACTGTTGGTGGCTACTCTTGAGCTGCAAGGCAAAGCTGAAGAGTTGAAACAGAGCTAGATGGCCCACAAAGCTGAAACACTTAGGATATGGTGCCTATATGGGAAAAGTATGCCAGGCCCAAATTTAGATGCCAATGTCCCTTTCTAATAACTTTATGATCATCAGCCACTCTGCTTCTATACCAATCACCAAGTTCAGTTACTTCTAAACCCTATGTTTTTCCTTTTCCTTCTTCTGATGTGTTATGTGTGATGTGCATCCATGTATACATGCCTCTTCAGGTGTGTGCGCATGTGCGCACGTGTGCCACTAAAGTTAATGTCAGGACTTTTGTTTTTTTTGAAATTGGGCTTCTCTGTGACAAACTTAGCTGTCCAGGAACTCACTCCGTAGACCAGGTTAGCCTTGAACTCAGAAATCCACCTGCCTCTGCCTCCCAGAGGATTGGGATTAAAGGCCTAAAACACTACTGCCCAGCTAAATTTCTTTCTGTAAACACCAATAACCAAATAAAATTAATATAAGTGCCTAAGGAAAGCAAGTGTGTTAGGAATACAGGAAGAAACCAGGAGATTTCACAGAAAGAAGAAAGGATTCCCACCTGAGCACAGAAGAGAATGGATATGGGTATGGCAATATCTGGAGGCAAGGTGTGAAAGGAAGTGGTGTACAAGCAGGCTGCCTGGAGCAAAAGGCTTGCAATTGGAAGGCAGAAGAAGGTCTAAGTGACAAGCTAAGGAGGTCCTGAAGGAAATTTAAAATCTTGATGCCCACAGAATGAAGCAAAAGTGGGGTTTTTAAGAAGTCTGCTGTATAGGTTGGAGAGGTGGTTCAGCAGTTAAGAATGCTTTCTGGCTGGGCATTGTTGGCTCACACCTTTAATCCCAGCACTCAGGAAGCAGAGGCAGGTGGATCTCTGTGAGTTCAAGGTCAGACTGGTCTACAAAGCTAGTTTCAGGACAGGCTCCAAGGCTACATGACTTTAATCCCAACACTCAGGAGACAGAAGCAGGCAAGTCTCTGTGTGTTTAAGGCCAGTCTGGTCTACTGAGTTGAGTTCCAGGACAGCCTGAGATACACAGAGAAACCCTGTCTCTAAAACAAACAAAGAAACAAACAAAAAGAATGCTTTCTGTTCCCCTACAGGACCCTGGTTCAGTTCCCAGCACCCACATGGGCATATCACAATAGACAATAACCCCAGTTCCAGGGATTCACTGCCCTCTTCTGGCCTCCACAGGCACCTGCACACATGTAGTATATACTCACATAGATGCACAGACATAATCATAAATAAAAACATAACAAACTCTTTTTTAAAAAAAGTCTATTCTATAAGATGTAATTGGTGAACTGGGAGAGAGGAATAGGGTTTAGTGGTTGAGTGTTTGTCTGATAAAGCTTGGTGGTAGAGTATGGTTCTGCTATGTGTGAGGACCCAAGTTCAATTCTTAGAACTAAAAATGAAAAAGAGAAAAAGATGCAATGGTATGGGAAAGAAACCCACTCACTCTCCTACCTTGTTCTCCTTTAGTTTTGCCTGTAAGAAGAGGGTGAGACTCTGTAGCTGCTCGGCCAGCACCCTCAGCTCTTGAGAATGCTGGTATGTCTTCTCCAGAGCCTGTTTCTCATGCTTTGCTACAGTGCTGGCCAGCTCAGCCCTGAAATTTGGGACCCCAAAGGTGAGAAAAGACCAGACACTAGTTCTGATGCTTCTCCCAGATCCCCTTTTTCTAGGAGAGAGAGAGAGACTCAACACTCCCATGGTTCTCTTCAGGAAAACTTTGGTGGAAAAAGAAGCATGTGGGAACACAACAAGGCAGCAGGTTCTTACTTCAGGTTCTCCACAGTGTCCTTGAGGGTCTCGCATCGCAAGCTGCGCTCCCGCAGCACTTCTAGTGTGACTCTCAGCTGACACTCAATCTGGCCCAGCTCCAGGTGAGCAACTTGACCCTCCTGGTCTGCAAACTGGAAAGATGGGAGGAGGAAGGGAAGAGGAAGGGAGGGAGGGAGGGAGGGAGAGAGGGAGGGAGGGAGGAGAGGGAACTTTAGAGCTTGGAACAGAGGCTTACTCCAGTCTAGTCTTTAACTTCACCTCAAGCCCGGCAGACGAGAGTCACACTCTTGAGGTTTATCTGCCCTTTGCTCCAAGTGGAACTGCTCACCTCCAAGGTCTCCTTCAGGTCCTGTACCTCCTTAGCCAGCACAGCCTGCTGATGCTGCAGCTCTGCTTGTGTGTGTTTCAGTTCTGTTTCTTCCTTTTGCCATCTGCCAACAGACCATCTATTAGATCCCATTCAGGCCTTCATGCTGGCTCTCTTGCCACAATAACCTGATAGGAACTCACTGTGCAGCCTGCTCCTTGAGACTCTGGGTAAGTTGACACAACAACTCATCCTTCATGGCCAGGTCCTGGACACACTGGGTATGCTGACTCTGCAGTTCTTTTAGTTGGTTGTCTGTGCTAGTCAGACTCTGCAGCTGAGCCCAGAGATCTAGATCAAAGGTATCCTAATGGCACCATTGTGGCCCTAAGTCAGGACCCTACCACCACCACCACACAGACATAATTTTGTCCCAAAGCAAGTGCTCCGTAACATCTTCCTACTATTCTACCACAAGACAAGCGGGTCGACTGTTTATGCACAGACACACATGTGCACACACTCACACAGGCACCTGTGGTAAGGCGACTATTTTCTGATTTCAGTTGTTCTATTTGGCCTTTATAGTCCTCTAAATGGGCAGAGACTTGTTCAAGTTCCTTCAAAACCTAGAAAAGACAGTTTCCTTCCTAGAGTTCCTCTTGAGTCAAGAACTCCAGGACTCAGTGTAAACTTCCAGAACAGCAACATGCAGAAAATGAAACTGACCCCCAGGAACAAGTAGAGACAAGACAAATTACTAAGGGGAGGTGCTGGAACCAAAAGAAACAACTGAGCTCCTAACATCTTATAGCCAAGCAAAGTGAAAGCAGGCCACTCCAAGTTACCTGCTTCCTTTCCTCGATTGCAGCATCGCGTTCCTGAAGGGCCTGCCGGCTCTTGGTTGTGAGTTTCTCTGTTAGTTCTCGAGACCGATTCAGCAAAGTTGCCCATGTTCCATACTATCAAAGTAATTGGATCAGTAGAATGCACTCAAGGATGGGAAACTGGCTCTAAGGGAGTGGTTGTGATGGTCCCAAATACTCACATCCTGTTGGATAGATGTCCAGTCCTGCTGCAAAGCAGAAGTCAGACTCACAGTGTGCTGAGCCAGCTCCTCTTGCTCTGTGTGAAGCCCTATCTGGAAGACAAAGATTATGAAGGCATCTTGTCAGTGTCATCATGAGCCCCAAGAACAAAAAATGCTCTTAGATTACCAGTTGAGTTGGGAGTGGTATTACACATTTCTAATCAATCCCAGCACTCAGGAGACAGAGATAAGGAGACCTCTATAGTTCAATGGGAGCCTGTCTCAAAAACAGGAAATGACAGCTGGGTGGTTGTGGCTCATGCCCCCAATCCCAGCACTACGGGAGACAAAAGCAGACTATCGTGGCCTACTGAGCTACTTCCAGGACAGCCAGGGCTACACAGAGAAACCCTACCTCAAAAAGATAGATAGATAGATAGATAGATAGATAGATAGATAGAGATAAAAAGGAGATGACAATTACCAGTTGGGTCTGGGCCTCCTGTAGAAGGCCTCTGAACTCCCGCATAGATGTCAAATCCTGTTCCAGTTGACTGATACGCTTACTAGCATGTGCACGGAAAGCCTCCAGTACTGCCTCTGCCTGTTTAGGGAAAAGGTTGCCAGGTGTGTAATAAGAAAATGGCACAGAAGGCCATAACCACAGAGTCCCCAGTAGCTCTTAATTCTATGTCTCAAGTCACTCCTGGAGAACCTTGGAGTCCTTCCACATCTAGGAGCAGTTGCTGGACACCTTACCGCATCTTTGCCGTGAAGGGCCATTTCCTCTCTGTGCCTTGCCTCCTCCCTTTCTGTTCTGAGGCTCTGGAGCTTTGCCCTCAGTTTCTTCAGTACATGAGAACAGGAGGAAACCAGGGTTTCTGCAATCCGAGACTACAAAAGAAGAATGAGATGTTATGTCTTATGCCTTCTTCTTGGCTTATGGTCACCTTCAAGATGCTTACCTCTTGACTCACTGTCATTCTGTCTTCATTCATGTGTGTCAGAGACAGATGAAGCAAGGATATCAGTTCTCTAGAGACTAGCATCCATGATTGCTATAGAAGAAAAGACAGCAAGGCTAGACCAAATATAGTCATTAAGCAGGATGAAGAAACACTGCAGGGAAAAAGCTATTGACACCCCAGTTCCAAGTTCCTAATAATGAGATGCTCTTGACAAAGGCTTGGGATGTTCTCTTCACTGCACAGCTATGTCTCACCATCTACTAATTACCCAGGATCCTCCATTTTTGATCTTCACAAGGGATCCCAATGGTATAAACTCAACCAACACTTACCATGACATTCCTAGCTTGCAGCAGAGCCTGTCTAATCTCCTTGCTGTCCTGGAGATGTTTAGATGTCTTAGTGACCTAACCAAAGAAATAATTGCTCTTTTTAGATGAATAACATACACCAGCAGCCTCTAATTTCCCTCACACCAGTGACTTTCATATGTGATGGAGAAATTAGGCTCATAATCAGATGAAGCCAAGTAAGAAAGAAAAACCTAGAGGGAACTGGCGATAATGTTTACATGCTTGCCTTCCAAACATAAGGACCTGAGCTTGAATATTTATGTAAGAAGTTCATGTAAAAAGCTGAGTGTGGGGCTAGAGAGATGGCTCAGTGGTTGAGAACACTTGATGCTCTTACAGAAGATACAGGTCCAGTCCCTAGGACTTGGTTTGGCAACGAGCACTGAAACCAGGTCTCCTGTGTCTCAGTCCAGATGACCAGATGTTTTCTTCTGACCTCTGACCTACAAGTGTCTACTTGTAGACATGTGGTGTACTGTATTATACTCAAGCGCACACATACACAGATGCAAGGCGAGTGATGATGGCACACGCCTTTAATCCCAGTGCTTGGAGGGAGAGGCAGGTGGATCTCTGAGGGTAATGGGCCAGTCTGGTCTACAAAGTAGGTTCCAGGACAGCCAGGACTGTTACACAGAGGAACTCTTGGGAGGCAAGGGATGCAATGGTGTGCCTTTAATCTCAATGATGGAAACTGGTAGATCTCTGAAAGCTCAAGAGGCAGTGGGTCTGGCCTATATGACAAAGTTCCAGGTTAATAAAAGACCTGAAACATCTTAAAAAAAAATATGGAATATGCCTGATGACTGAACCCTTAGATAATCTGACCTCTACACATTCAGTTCATGCATATGTGTTCGCACGCACATATGTAAAAAGTTCCCTTTAAAAACTTTAAAGTTGCTTGGTGGTAGATGGCTCACACCTGCCTTTAATCCCAGCACTCAAGAGGCAGAACTCTGAATTTGAGGCCATCCTAGTCTACAGAGCAAGTTCCAGAACAGCCAGAGCTACACAGAGAATAAACCCTGTTTCAAAAAACAAACAACCCCCCCAAAAGCCATAATGAAACCAGTGTATATTAGCTAAAATATAAAATAAAGCAGGAGCCACAAAGATAGCTCAGTACTTAAGACGGGTTCAGTTTCTAACACCCACTTGGAGGCTTACAACCATCCATGATTCCAGTTCCAGGGCATGTGGCACCCTCTTCTGACCCCCATGGGCACCAGATGCCCATGTGGTACACATGCATATATGCAAGCAAAACAAACACATAAAATATTTTTTTCTTAAATTAAAAATTGTGGCTAGAAGCAGGGCAGTGGTGGCACACACCATTAATCCCAGCACTTGGGAGGCAGAGGCAGGGACAGACTGAGTTCCAGGACAGCCAAGATACACAGATAAACCCTGAGAAAAGGCTCAGCAGTTACAAGTACTGACTGCTCTTCTAGAAGACCCAAGTTTTGTTTCCAGCACCCATATTACAACTCATAACTGTCCGTAACTGTAGTTCCAGAGGATCTGATGCCCTCTTCTGGCCTCCTCACAGGACTGTGCACTGTGTACAAGTGGTACACAGATTTATATATGAAGGCACAAACCCACACATTAAAAAAAAAATCATTAACCATTACAACTCATGTACATTACCATGCCAGCTTTTGAACGAGTCTTCTGGGGCTGAACTCAGGTCTTTAAGCATGCTCACTATGTACTTTACCAACTGATCTCTCTCTAACTTCTTCTACCACCCCAAACCATCCTTCCTCCTTGCGGTGCTGGGAAATGAACTTAGGTCCTTTTCCATTCTATGACAGGGCTTAATCCCAGCCCCATTTAGATTATTTCTATTCAATTTTCTTTTTATTTACATGTATATGTGTGTGCCTGTATATGTGTGTGTGTGTGTGTGTGTGTGTGCGCGCGCGCGCGCGCGCACATGAGTGCAGATACCCACAAAGGCCAGAGATACCAGAGCCAGAATTACAGGTGGTTGTGAACTGCCCAATGTGAATGCTGGGAACAGAACTTTGGTCCTCCGGAAGGAAATATATATCCTCAACCACTCAGCCATCTTCAAACCCTATTTTCTTACTTTAGTTGTCCAACTTTCTTTTTTATTTTTTTGTTTTATCAAGACAGTTTTCTCTGTAGCTTTGGAGTCTTTCCTAGAATTCACTATGTAGACCAGGCTGGCCTCAAACTCACAGAGATCCTCCTGCCTCTGTCTTCCAAGTGCTGGGATTAAAGGCATGCCCCACCACTGCCCAGCTAGTGGTCTACTTTCTTATGGCAGATAAAAACCTTAGCAAGAAGCACAGACTGTAATCCAAGCCCTAGGTAGGCTGAGGCAGGATGGTCATTGAGTTTGCTGTCAGTTAGGTTACAAAGCAATAAATACTGTGTTCAAAAGAGCAGGAATTTTCATTACCACTCAAAGACAGACATACGGGTACTGCAGAAGCAGCAGTGCTGAGTCACCGTGCACTGGCATTCTGGCTTTCAGCAGGCTCCGTCTCTTGGAGTTTACAGCCTCTTTCCCCAGCAAAGCAATCTATCTATGGCATTGTGCAGAAAGGCACAGAGTAACTCCCAAGTCCTGGTCAAGGCCACACACACTGCTCAGAGCTGGGCAGTCAGGCAGGTGATGAGATTAATGTGAAGAGGCAGCCAAGTGGCAAGGACATGCATGGTGATGGCAAATGGCTGAAGGGATGTCATTTCCTTTCTCTAGTTCTGCTTCAGTGGCCTCCCAAAGGACCTGGCAGCTTTAGAGGAAAAGGATAGAAGGCAGATTTGGGGACATGAAATGAGGCCAAGGACAAGAAAAAAAGATACAAAGAAATTTCAAGAAAGAAACTGGTCAGCTAGAGAAACAAGGAGCCCATGGTTTCCAGATTTGGGGGGAAAGGTAAAGTTACTTTGACAGTACTTACAATTGAAGAGAGGGTTTTGGGACACCATCTTCCAAGCATCAATTACTATAGTTACTACAGCCACATACTGAGACTTTCCATTCTTTCCCCAACACAATTCTTTCTTCTTAAGCCTGTGATATCACTGCCAGAGTCCTCTAGAACAGTGCTTTTTTTTAAATCACCAGTTTACAGAAACAACAAAACCCAAATAAAACAGAAGACAAGGTCTCACATAGCTCAGATTGGCTCTGAGTTCACAGGTAGCTGAGGCAAACCTTGAACTTCTGAGCTTCCTAGTCTTCCTAGTTCCACTTTCCAAGGTTTGGGATTACAGATACACACAATCATGTCCTGCTACAACAGAGGTCTTTAAATTACTTTCCTCTCACTCAAGTTTGATTCACAGCACCCACATCGGACAGCTTACAACCACCTATAACTCCTGTTCCAGGGGATCTGACACCTCTAGCCTCCAAAACCATCTGCACATGAAAAATAAACCTTAAGGGGAAAATAATCTTAAAAGAAATAACCTACCTATGTAGGTTTTTTGTTGTTTTTTGGCTAAAAATTTTTTCAGTGCCTTTATTTCTGTGTGTGAGTGACTGTACATGTGTAGGTCAGAGAATTTGTAGTAGTTGGATCTGTCTACCATGTAGATCCTAGGATCAAACTCAAACTCAGATCATCAGGCATGGTTGCAAGCACCTTTACCAATTGAGCCACCTCAACAGCCCGTTTCTGGATTTTCTTTTTTTCAGATTTATTTTTATGTGTGTGGGTAGGTGCCTCAAAGAGGTCAGAGGTGTTTGATCTCCCTGGAACTGGACTGATAGGTGGTTGTGAGGTACCCAGTGTGAGCACTGACAACTGAACTGAGGTCCTTTGCAAGAGCACTACTTACTCTTGACCTCTAAGCCATCTCTCTAGCCCCCTTCTCTCAACTTTTTTCTTGTTTTTTCAGGATATAATTTCTCTCCGTAACAGCCTTGGCTGTCCTGGAACTCTCTCTGTAGACCAGCCTCATCTCAGAGATCCATCTGCTTCTGCCTCCTGAGTAATAGGGTTAAGATTAAAGGTGTGTGACACCATGCCCAGCCATCTCTCAATTTTTGAGTGTCTCACTCACGGTCCAGCCTGGCCTGAAACTAATTAAACTTAAAATGGGAAGTGTAAGTATGTTCTTCCTTAGTCAGGAGGGCCAGGGAACTGATAATAGAGAAACAGGGAAAAAAACAATTAGTAAATAACAAATCTGGAAAACAATGACTTACAAAATGATTCTTGCTTTGGACTTGCTCAGGACACAGAGGCCCTGGGTTCAATTCTGAGCACCATAGAAATAAGTAACCCTGCTTACTTGCCCTGCCTTGAGAAGTCTGGACATAACCAATGTTTTAAGGTATGTCCAGATCTTTTTTTTTCTGAGGCAGGGTTTCTCTGTGTAGCCTAGCTGACCTGGAACTCAATTTGTAGACTACACTGTACTCAAACTTGGAGATCCGCCAGGGGTTGGAATTAAAGGCACATGCTACCACCATACAACACACTTCAGCTTTTTTAAATGTCTTTTCAAGAAAGGTTTTTCTCTGTGTAGCCTTGGCTGTCCTGGAACTCACTCTGTAGACCAGGCTGGCCTCAAACTCATGGAGATCCACCTCCTCCCAGCAGCTTTAATAATAATACTAATACTAATAATAACAATAATGATAATAATAAATATAATAATAATAAAAACATAGGCTAGCCACAAAGTCTATAGCCCAGGCTGGCCTTGAATTTTAGGTCATCTTGCCTTAGCCTCCCAAGACCTGGTATTATATACATGCACCACCATATGTGGCTCAAGTTCTCAGTTTTTACATATATTTGAAGACTGAACCTGTGGTTAAAGCTGCCTCCTTTCCCTCTGGCAGCTTCTCAGCTAATGTCTAAGGCAGAGGATCCACTAGGATCCTCCAAGCTTCTATGAAGAGGCTTCTTACCCCACAAGGAGAGCGGTCAGTCTGTGTGCTACTGTCTTGAGATTCCTGGTGAGAGACAGTGAGCTGCCTCTTCCAGGCTTGTAGCTGGTGGGAAAGAACTTCCAGCACAACGAGGGAGTTCAACAGGTTCTCTTCCAAGTCGTGTCGGGACAAGGCAGTCAGATCAAGAGGACCATAGCTGCCACAGGAAAGAAAAGAAGGACAGAGGTCTGAGTGGCAGGTCTAGAGTGTCAGAGCTCCAGAAGCACAGGCTTGGAGAGGACACTTACCCCAAGTGGGGGCACTCCGTCTCTGAAGTACTGTGCTTGGCATCTACTTCTGGTGGCAATGGAGGAGTAAAAGACGTTCCCACAGAACAAGTGGAGAGGGGTGTGTTGCCAACAGCAGCATCCTGAAGCACTGAAGGAAAGGATAGCCTCTGGCGGAGATTTTGTAGCATGACTGATGTATTCATACCCTTTTCTAGCCAGGCCAACGGGGACATCCAAGTCTCTGAATCTAAGCCAGGAATCCTACTAACATCTTCTGTAGTTGGGCCTGGAGCTTTCTGGGGTCCCGTTTCTGTTAGACTTGATGTCAGATACATCGATGGAGCATCTTCTGCCTTTGCAGTAAGTGCTTGGTCTTCCACTTCAACCTCCTCAGGGCATGTGGGAAAGCTCTTTTCACTTTCCTGTATAACTCTGTACTCTACAGTTTCCTCCCCTGGATCTACATGGTCCACAGGGAAATCTTCGGTCAAGGCAATTGAAGGAGAAAGCCAGGTCACAGAGAAATTCAAGACATTTTCAGACTGCACTAAGCCCTCAGGTGCAGCTTCAGTGCTAATACCTCTTAGGTTTTCTTCGGAGCAGTGGAACTGTTCAGAACAGGGTTTGGATGGATATTCCAAAAGATGAGGTGGAGGGTCCTGAAATGCAGGTTGCTCAGGCCTAACAGCAACAACTTCTGTAAAGCTGTCTTCCACACAATGTGCCGCCTCCTTTTCCACCAGATCTTCTAGCCTTAAGGACTCACTTAGAGAGCTGCAGTTTATCTCTGCCATGGTATCTAAGTGAGCCTCCAGCATCAGGTCTTGCTGTTGCCCTAGTGGAAAAGGTAAAAGAACCATGTTCTTAACTATACTCTCATCCATCGGGTCTACTACAAAGTCATCCATTGTTTCTACTGCTTTCTCTGCTGAACTGAGAGGAGAGCTGCTTTCAGGAGTTGGTTCAGATCCATGCTGACAAGCCTCTATGTATTTTGTTGGAGGGCTGAACTGTTCTGAAAGGAAGTTGTTCTCAGTATTGATAAAATCCACTGGAGATGAGTTGTTGCTCCTTTCCTGCCAAAAGAAACAAAACTAGTTGAGTAAGGCAGTCAATTCAGTCAACATGTAACTGTGGATACATCATAGTATCCAAACTCAGAAAAAGCAAAGCAAAGAGCCCTCATTGTCTCTTCTGAGGTAAGGAGCCAGCCAAGTGGCTGACTATTACCCAGAACCACCAGTAAGGAAAGGAAACTAGGAAGCCACTTTGGACCCTTATGCATCCCACACACAAATGGGGATCCAGCTGACAGCATAAACAGATCAAGCATTAGCTGTTTGTGTCAATGGGAGACTTTAGCTCAAATGTGACCTTGCCATGTCTTTTTCTAATTATAACTTACATCTAAGATACAAGGTAGGAGGGACTGAATAAGGGATGAATTATGTTTCAAGTGTTGTCAGAATCTAGAGTTATTATAGACAAAATAAAGGTAATGAAATAGGGTTGGAAGTACATAGTTCAGTAGTAGAGTATTTGCCTAGCAAGCACAAGGACCTAGGTTTAACACCCAGCACCATGAAATAAAGTAACAAAACCATGGTGAGGGGGAGCAAACTTTCATATTTCAAAAGAATGGTTCTAATTAATAGGAAGATGAAAGGATAGCAATTCTTCAGGACAATTTCCCCAGACAAGTAAGTTTTCCAAAATGTCGGTGAAGAATCCTACGGGTCAATCTTCATCCTTAACAAGGTTTTATAAAAGCAGTTTGTACATATCTACTTCTCTTAAGTTCTTTGACAAGTAATTAAAAAAAAAAAAAAAAAACTAAAGTGCTTTTTAAAACTAAATTTAAAAATAGAAAAGAAGCCAGGCAGTGGTAGCAGATGCCTTTTATCTCAGCACTTGGGAGGTCAGCCAGGACTGTCACACAGAGAAACCCTGTTTCAAATAAACAAAATAAGGCATTGGTGGCACACACCTTTAATCCCAGCACTCCGATGGCAGAGGCAGGTGGATCTCAATGAGTTCAAGGCCAGCCTGGTCTGCAAAGCTAGTTCCAGGGCAGCTAGGGCTGTTACACTAATAAACCTTATCTCAATACCCCCACCCCCCAAAAAGAAAGAAAAACAAAAACAAAGGAGGGAGAGGTGTCCACGTCAAATTAACACATATCTCCTCAGGAATGAGTCCTCTAATTTTTAAGCTCTCAATAATCATGAAAGGTTCTGGATAAAACTTGGATCCAAGCTGAAAAGAAATAATATTAGAAGTGCTAGTGACAATAATAATAATAAAGACTTCTGACTAAAGTACAGATCGGTAAAGGCAATTCTGCAAGGTAATACTTGAAAGTACTGGATCCAGGAAAATTCTGTCTTCTTCATAGGAATACTGTCTCACTCTTGTATCAAACAGACCTCTCCACCAATGAGCCAGTATTAAGTATATCTCGGGAATTCGTTAAAGGTCAAAGGAGAAAAGAGGTAATAAAAACCAATAGCTAAATAGAGGTGCAGGTTCTCAGTGGATTCGTTTTAACCACCCCAGGGCACCTCTCTGTTGGCCTGAATAGCTGTAAATGGATGTCACGGAAGTAGAAGGATTCATTATCGTTATTAATTACGTTCCAGCCCTGGCCCTCTGCTCCTCTGAGCACTCGGCCTGGGCAAACAGCCCAGTTGAGAGGCTGTCTACGCGAATCTCACCTTCAGCTCCAGCTTGCGCAGGTGTGGGGTCAGCGAGGAGAACATCGGCGGCCCTTTCCCTGAATCGGTGACAGCCCCGGGTTGCAGTTTAAGCTCTCGGAGAGGAGTTCTCATAGCTGGTTTTCCCTGAAAGAGACAGCGAGTGTGTGTGAGGAAACCTGGCCCAACCAAGAGCGCCCCTCCTCCCAGCTGGAAGTGTTTTCCTGCAACCGCCAGGCCGTGGGGCCCACAAAGCCTCCCGCTGCCCGGCTCCGGTGGGACCCGGGCTTCACCGGCCTCGGGACCGCCGGCGCCCCGCCCTGCTAGTGCCCTGACCCCGGGAGTTCTCTCCTCACCGGTTGGGGCGAAGGCGACAAGCCGAGATTCAGCGTTTTAACCCTCCACATGTCTAATTTGACCACTTTTCTGACTAAGTCAACTTGGCCACATTCACCCGCCGCTATTTGAACCCGATGTGCGCTCCCGGATTGGCTGCGGGGTTGTGCGTCGTGTGGGTGTGGCCTGCGTTCGCCACGCCCCCATCGGCCTCAGCACGCTCAACCCAACGCCTCTTCTGGGGCACCAAGAATATGTCTTCGGTTCAGGGACACCACAGGCAACTGGAAAGTCAAAGAATCCTGTTTCAGTGGCTCCTTTCCCTCAGTTACCGGGTGAGCCTCACATCACTCAGTGTTGGGCTGTCTAGGTGTAGGTGCCAGATTCATAATGGCCTGAGCGTCCCTAAGTGCCAAACTTCAGCCTTCAGGTAAATGCCTCTTAAGAATTTCTGGCCCTTTCTTGTAACCTTAGAGCCCGCAACAAGATTATTAGAGTAACAGCTGACATGTACTGTACTATACATTTATGATGATCCTGGCACTGTTTCAAGGGCTTGCTATATTATTAACTCATTCATCATAAGGAATACAAAGAGAATGTAATTTGTGCGACACCCCACGAAGACAGGCTTCTGTGTACTGAATCCCTTCTGTAGGGGAAATCTGTCTACTGAAGGTAGAATTGGTGTATGTGTCTCTAAAACAGGGTCTCACTATGCAGCCTTGGCAGGTGTGGCAATCATTTTGTACATCTTGTTGGCCTCGAACTCAGATGTGCCTGCCTCTGACTGCATTCTGAGTGCTGGAATTAAAAGTAGGCGCCATCACATTATGCTGGAATTTATTATTATTAATCTATTTATTTTTTATTAATAGCTGAAGGTTTTGGTTGTTTGAAACAAGGCCTCAACACATAGCACAAGCTGGCCTCAAACAGTTGATCCTTCTGCCTCCAAAGCAAATATTTATCTTGTGTCAGAGTCTTGTTAGATGGCTTAGACTGGTCCTGAACTCCCCACCATCCTGTCTCAATCTTCCAATTGGCTGGAACCATAAAGCTTGAAAGGTGAGTGTTGAAGTGTCAATGGATGGCACCATGTTGAAGCAGGGTCTTACCAGCTCCCAGTCCTGTCCCAGCCATTGGTGCTGAGATTACAGGCTTAACGACTAGAGAAAAGGAAGCAAACCAAAGAGGAGCTTTTGGTTTTCTTTTGTTTAGTTTAGAAACAAGGTTTCTCTCTGTAACATTAAGTTCCTCTTTGGAGCCCGGCAGTGGTGGCTCATGCCTTTAATCCCAGTGCTTGGGAAGCAGAGACAGGTGGGTCTCCAAGTTCCAGAACAGCTAAGGCTACACAGAAAAACCCTGTCTCAAAGGGGAAAAAAAGCCAGAAGCAGTAGTTTTTGTCATTAATCCTAACATGATGGGGCAGAAGATTCCCTGGGATTTACTGGCCAGTGAGTTCTGGGTTCCATAACAGAAAATGTCTCCAAAACTAAGGTAGAAAGGTAGAAAGTAATTAGAGAAAATACCTGATATTGACCTCTGGCTCCACAAGCCTGCACATATGTGAACAAGTGTGTAGGCACACACACAAACATGTACATGTATACAAATTAGGTAAGTAATCTGCATTTTATTTTGAGAGAGAATCTCTCTTTGTTTGGGTCTGTCAGGCTGGCCTCAAACTCATTAAGACATTTCTCTGTCTCTGCCTCCTGAGTATTGGGATTAAAGGCCTATATGTCATCAAGCATAGCCTTTTTGTTTTGTTTTTAAGATAGGCTCCAGTGATGTAGGTTGTACTCCTCTTCAACTTCTTCTCTGCCTCCTTAGTTCTTGCATTAACTTCTGTAGAACACTGTGACTCTAGAAACAAAACAGCATCAGTCTGAAGGCAATAGAATAACTTTAAATAAAAATATAGGGAGACAATATAGGTGGGTAGTACTGAGGATGGAGCTCAGAGTCTAGAACATGCCATCCTAGGATTATCTTTTTTTCTTTTCTTTCTTTCTTTTTTGTTCTCTTTTGGTTTTTCTTTTTTTTTTTTTTTAATTATTTATTATGTATACATTGTTTTGTCCAGAAGAGGGCACCAGATCTCATTATAGTTAGCTATGAGCCACCACATGGTTGCTGGGAATTGAACTCAGTACCTCTGGAAGAGCAGCTAGAGCTTTTAACCTCTGAGCCATCTCTCTAGCCCCCTTTTGGTTTTTCTGTAGATTAGGCTGGCCTTGAACTCAAAGAGTTCCATTTGCCTCTGCCTCCTGAGTGCTGGGGTTAAAGGCCTGCACCACTACCACCAGGTTTAGTTAGGGTTTCTATTGTGTGAAGAGACATCATGACCTTAGCAAGTCTCATAAAAGAAAACATTTAATTGGGATTGGCTTACAGTTCAGAGGTATAGTCCATTGTCATGGCGGGAAGCAAGGTGGCATCCAGGCAGACATGGTGCTAGAGAGTTCTACATGTGGGTCTATATGTGGATCCGCAGGCAGCAGGAAGAGGGAGTGACGCCGGGCCTGGCTTGAGCATCTGAACCTCAAAGCCCACCCCACAGCGACACACTTCCTCCAACAAGGCCACACCTCCTGATAATGCCTCTCTCTGGGCCTACAGGGGCCATTTTCATTCAAACCATAGCACATATTAAGTTTGTGCTTCACCAAGGAACTTCCACTCTCAATAGAATGACACCCCACCCCCCTTGAAGCAGGATTTCTCTTTGCCTAGGCTGGCCTCACTCTTTCAGCAACCCTTCTGCCTCAGACTCTTGAGTCCTGAGACTGCTCTTGAGCCTGGATTGACCAAGTGCGACAAAGGGTCTGTCTGTCTGTCTCTCCACAAGGTTTTTCTGTGTAGCCCTGGCTGTCCTGGAACTCAGTTTGTAGACCACCATGCCATACTTTTAGGTTACTTGAGAGGTTTGTACTGGGATGCACCAGGAAGTGTAGGATGGCCTCAACACTGCCAGCTGTCCTTCTGCCTTTGTCTCCCAAGTGCTGGAATCACAGATGTGAGCCCTCATACCAAGTGTGTGTTAGCCTCCAGGCTCCCTCAGTATCACAGAGTTTATGATGGCATACAGTCTCTTCTCAGCTTGTCTCACCTCCTCTACCCTAAGCTTTCCCAGGTCATGTGCTCCCTTCCCCAGCTACTCATTTTCCTTATAGCCCTGCTATCCCAACCATGTTCACTCTCTTTTTCCCCACCCCCACCTGTCTCTGTGTGTGTGTGTGTGTGTGTGTGTGTGTACACGTGCGCGCCAGCATGTGTCCACATTCTCCCTCTCTCCGCTCTGCTTCTCTTAAGGTCATATCCAGTCTGATGGCCATATTCATTTTACTACTTTCTCTCCCTGCTCCACACTCTTCCAGATGCCTCCGGTGGTTCTCTTCTATCTATAATAAAAGCCTTCCATTTGGGCAGTGGTAATGCACATGCCTTTAATCCTAGCACTCCAGGGTGGAGGCAGATGGATCTCTGAGTTTGAGGCCAGGCTGGTCTACAGAGCAAGTTCTAGGACAGCCAGGGCTACACGGAGAAACCCAAACAAAACAAACAAAACTCAGATCATGAGGGAGCCTGGAGGCCCAGAGCCTTTACTTATGCTAATTTAGCTGTCCTTTGCTTAGTTTTTCAGAAACACAGACTTACCCATTGTAGTTCAGGCTAGCCTTAAACCAGGATCCTTTTGCCACTGCTGCCCTGCCCCAGTGCTAGGATTCAGGTGTGTACCATCATGCCCAGTTTGTTTGTCTTTTTCTAGACAGAGTTTCTTTGTGTAGTTCTGGCTTTCCTGGAACTACTATGTAGACCAGGCTAGCCTCAAACTCAGAGATCCACCTGCATTTGCCTCCCAAGTTTTGGGATTAAAGGTGTGTACCACCACCACCACCTAGCTTCACCATGTCCAGTTTACCTCTGCCTTTGAGGAAAAAAAAAAAAAAAAAAAAATCACAAAGGGTGGAAGTTGTTACTCAGTTGGTAGAATGCTTGCCTAGCATGCAGGAAGCCCTGGGTTTGATCTGTATCAAATAAACTGGGCTTAGTAGTGTAGGCCTGGGCAAGGTCTGAAGTTCAAAATCATCCTCTGCTACACACTTGAGTTGGTTTCTTGAGACATGGTTCAGTAGCATTTCCTGCTCTTATAGAGGGTTCCATTCCCAGCACCAACATGGTTTATAACTCTTCTGGCCTCCTTAGGTACCACCATAGTACTCTTACATACATGTAGACAAACCACTCACATACATAAAATAAGTACAAATAAATCTTTTAAATAAATAATTAACTTGAAAGAAAGAGAGAGAGAGAGAGAGAGAGAGAGAGACCTGAAACCTGTTCCCCTCAGTTACTAACCAATGTTTAGAGCTGATCTACTCAGTGGTGGTCTGCTTAGACTGCACAAGACCCAGGGCAGTGCAGGGGGAAAATAAAATCAGTGATTGTAATGCCCTCATTTTATACCCCAGATCTGGAAGAATTGAACAGACTTGTTTAAGATATACTGAGATAGTTACTTATAGATCCAGATACAAGATATTCTTAGTTCAAATTCAACTCTCTTAAAAATTATCAGTCCCTACTTTTAGTATTTAAGGTTTATAATTCAGTGTTTAGTTCTGATCATTACCACAAATGTAACAAAATTATTAAAATGTCTAAAGAGAAAAAAAAATGAGCTAATACGATGAAGGGTATAGTCTCTTTTATTCTTTTCTATATCAACATTAATCTAAGGATTACAAAGATGTAAATAATATAGTAATACAAAAGATAACAGAAAAATGAAAATAAGGAAAAGAAAAAGACAGTGACTGGTGTGCAATTTTTCTGGAGGTAGGCCCCAAATTGGGCTCTTATTGGCATATTACTAATACAAGGAGGAAACTATAAATAACTGACTACTGTAAGAGCAAGAACCAAACAGTAGCTCAAGAAAAGCATAACTTGGTCCAGCAGGAATCCCCTGAATATTCTTTTTTTAAAAAAAAAAAAAAAAAGATTTGTTTGTTTATTATATATAGTATTCTGCCTGCATGTCAGAAGAGGGCATCAGATCTCATTATAGATGGTTGTGAGTTACCCTATAGGTGCTAGGAATTGAACTCAGGTCCTCTGGAAGAGCAGCCAGTGCTCTTAACCTCTGAGCCATCTCTCCAGACCATCACCCAGAACATTCTTATGTAGAACATTATGATCCCTTAGCACTTTTACTATTTATTTTATATGTATGAGTCTCTTAACTGAATATGTTTATATGCACTATTTGTGAGTCTGGTACCAGCAGAGTTCAGAAGAGAGCATCAGATCTCCTGGGACTGGAGTTATAGATGGTTGTGATCTGCCATGTGAGTGCTGAGAACCAAACAGGGTCCTCTGCAAGAGCAACAAATGCTCCTAAGCACTGAGCCATCTCTCCAGCCCATAACATACAATTAGTGCATCAGCCAAATGCATAGATTCACATGGGCTGCGAAAGCACAAACCAGAAAACGAATTCTACCAAGGCAAATAAAATGGAAAACTTGGCCTAATCCAGAGAGAATTCTAAGAGTATATATGACACTCATCAATTTTTTTGGCGAAAAGAGATCAGACATAACTGAAAAATAATAGTCTAGATTAAAGCACATATTTACTTTAAGCATCAGAACAAAGGGGCTGAGAGTACTCATATACATGAAAATTGAGAGCCTAAGTTAAAAATGGAACTTTTGAGTTGAAGAAAATGAAGTCAAATGCCAGAAATGTACATAAAAGGTCTAGATGGTTTTTCTTATAACAGGAAAATGTTCTTAGGATACATCTATAACTTTAAATCCTACAATTAATGCCATGGCACTCAATGCTTTCATTTGCTCATCAAAACCCAATCTCAGGCTCAGGTCTCATGTGCAGGACTATAATCTCAGCCATTTGGATGATTGAGGCAGGAAGATCACAAGCTCAAGGTCTGCCTGGGTGAATTCAAGGCATCAGCTTTGGCAACTGAGACCCTGTCTAGGGGAGGGGTAAATCTGAGTGAATGAACACTGGGGATGTAATTCAACAGATACTCAACTAGCATACATAAGGCTCTAGGTTTGATCACTAGAAACACAAAGCAGCAACATGGCAAAATCACTGAATCTTAATTAAAACTAAAGGTGTTGGGAGCCAGGCCTATTGGGGCTTTCCTGTGACCTGATGTATGGAGGACCTTAGTTCAAAACCAGGAATATATTTAGCAGAGCCAATAATGGCTCAGGGCCAAAGAAAGCCTTGGAGAGCTGATGCTTTGTATCCTGACAACCAATTCTTCCCCCACTAAAAGGCTACGGTTATCAGTCCCAAGGCTTCTGCGTGCATCTGGGATGCACTTGGGTTCCCTTTATGTAGCAATGCTTAACTTCCTGCTTACGTGGTTTGGTTCCACTGTAGGATAGTTTTCTGCGGACTCTGTCCCATTTCCCTGCAAACTGTCCTTAATAAGCTTGCTTGGTGTGGCTTAAGACACGGTTTTTGTAACACCTGATCCCAAACTTCCCTTTTTATTTTCTGAATCCCTGGTCCTTTGCTGATATAGGTCAAAAGGGTAAAAACAACAACAAAAACCAACTCTCAATCTTGGGCTGTATGGAAATGATCATTTCAATAATCCTTGTGTCTTTTTATGAGGCTTTTTTTTTTTTTTTATAGATTAGGAGACTTGCATGTTATCCTAGAGAAAGAAAACATAATCCACCCATGAAGTTTCCATTTTCTTTCTCACTTTAATTTGGGAGGATTGCATACATGTTGTGGGAGTCAGTCTCTCCTTATCCCATGGAAATCTTGGGGGAATCAAACTCATGTAATCAGGCTTCATGACAAGTCCCTGCTGGGCCATTTTGCTCTTTATTTTTTCTTTGAGACAGGGCTTCAGTGTGTAGCCTGGCTCTCCTGTAACTCACTATGTAGAGCAGGCAAAGGTCACAGAGATTCACCTGTTTTGTCGGGTGATGGAATTAAAGGCATGTGCCATCATGCTTGGCACTTAAAATTTTATTTTAAATTATTTTATGCATATGTATGTGGGTATTTACATCTGAGGAAGCCAGAGGTGTAGAATCTCCCTGGAGTTGGTTTACATGTACTTGTGAAGTGCCCACTGTTGGTGCTAAAAATTCAGAGTCCTCTGTAAGAGCAATGATCATTCTTAACATTGAGCCATCTCTCCAGCTTCCAGGTCAATTTTGGGGGAACTGGGGTTGTTTTTTTGCAACAGGGTTTCTCTGTGTAACAGTCCTGGCTGTCCTGGAACTAGCTCTGTAGACCAGACTGGCCTCAAGCTCACAGACATCCACCTGCCTCTGCTTCCCGAGTGCTAGGATTAAAGGTGTGGGCCACCACCATCTGGCAGGTAATATTTTTTAACTTCATATTTATTCAGGTGTTGAAATGTCAGCTTTTGCAGTCTTTAAAAAACATTCATAGTGCTTCTGACTAGCTCGTTAAACATAAAAATAGCACCTTGGGATCCCACAAAGTATTATTGCCCAAGAAAGGACATGTGATAGAAAACATGGATAAGGTAAAGTTTAAGAAGCCTTTGTTTGGCAGCTTAAGTGAAAGTGAAGTGAAATAAAGGTCACTGCCTTGGCCTGCAAATTGAAAGGTGGGTTGTATCATAGGAAAGCATTAGGGGAAGTTTTGGCTATCAGTTGCAGAATGCCAAAGATTTAAACTCTGGTCCAATATCTACAACAGAATAGTAAGAGACAAACAAGAAAAAGCTGGACCTTCATGGTGGTCATACTGAGTTGGTAGTAGGAATCTTCAGGGTTCTAGTTAGGCTCCAATCTACAGTAGGGAATCAGGAGAGATGGAGTGGACCCAGGACTCCAGATCACAGTCAAAGTCCTTGAAGGGCACAGATTCCAATGAACTGGTATCTTGTGTGTTCATGACAAGGTTCACTGGCTGCTTCTTTAGGAGCTCAGGGTCAAAGGGCACACCCCGAAAGAAGGGGTGTACCTGGAAATGATGCAGATAACGTAGACGGTGCAGAGGGTTCTGGCATAAAAGCTGAAGGAAAACAGAGTGAGACTGGGATAAGAAAGCGGCCAAACAGAGAAGAAAGGGAGCTATGGAAGGCAGGAAGATCCTAAGGCATAGATTTGTGAAAGAAAAGCCTGGTGGCTGGAAAGAGTGGGAGGACTGGGGAGGATAAAGGAGAGGGACTTGGATTTGCAGATGATACGGTAGCACAGGCCCATGCTCTTCAAAAGGACCTGTCATTCTGGGTGAGGAAAGGAACTCAGGAATGAGATCTGCAGTGCCAGTTACAGGGGAAATGGGTAGTCTTAGCATCTCAACCCTCATTAGACAGAGAGAGAGAGAGCTGGAAAATGTCACCTCAATGAAAAGATCCCGATGACAAGCTTGGGAGTCAAAAAGGAAAGCAGTATGCACCCTTACCTCATGGAGCAGGAGTGAGAGCTCCTGAGTGATAGAAACTGGCATCTCAGATTCACAGTGGATCACACTTGCCAACATGGTCACATGATCTCTTTCTGCAGCCACTGGGAACTAGTTAAAGAGGTAGAGGGTGGAAGAAGGCAAGGCTTTCTAAGGTCTTTGTTCCACAAAGCTTTTCTCTTCCCTGCTCAGCACCACTACCTTCTCTCACCTTGCCAGTTGTCAGAGAGAAAAGCAGTACTCCCAGGGACCACCAGTCAGCAGTGTGGCTGTAAGGCCCACCACTCAGGACCTCTGGGGCTGTGGGATGAAAGGTACTTGTTACTCGCTTCTCTAAGTCATCCTCCCCACCACAGCTTTAGCTTCTCTCTCACCCATGTATTGAAGAGTGCCACATATAGTATAGGCTCGTGCTCCCTGGGATAGGCGGCGAGACAGACCAAAGTCTGTCAGTTTCAGGTGGCCTATGGAACAAGGAAACAGGTTTCGACCTATGTCTTTGTTTACAGAGGTACCACTCATCCTGAGGCTGGAGAAGACATACCTCGCTCATCCAGAAGGATATTCTCCATCTGAAATCATGGGCGAGAGGACATTATCTCACTCTTTCCATTGATTCTGATTTGGTTTTTCCATTGTTATTTGATATAGGGTGTCAGTTTGTATCCCAGGCTAGCTGGGAATTAGATATATAGATACTGAGCTAGCTTCAAAACTATTCCTCCTGTCCCCCACCCCCAACAGTGCTGAGGTATAGGCAAGTATGACCACACCTGGCTTTCTTTCATGTAAAACTGCTAGTTGGAGAAGATAGTTCACTCAGCATTCAAACCTATACGTGGAGGATCCATACCTAAATCCTTTGTATCCACAGGAACCCAAATAAACTGTCTCTGTTCCCCACTGCCTTCTCAAACATGTTGGAACTTCTTGAGGCTCTTCCTCAGACTAAGAAATAGGACTTAACTCTACCTTTACATCCCGATGGATGATACCCAAGTCATGGAGATAGCCTGTGGAGAACAGTGAGCATGGGTGTGTGTAAGATCTTGTCTATTGCAGTTTCTGTAGCTTCTTTCCCATCTCTACCCTGCCTTCCAGAATTAAATATCAATTCTGTTTTCTCCTCCCCATCAACTTAATTCTTCCCTTTCTATTTCCTTTACCACTTTTTCACTTACACAGCACAAGGACCAGTTCAGCTGCAAAGAGACGGATAGAAGCCTCTGGAAAACCACCAACAGCAGACCACAGGGAGTAGAGATCCATGCTGCAGTAGCTACACACTGCAAAGCACCAGAAGTCTAGGCAATATCTGGGGTCTATAATGTCTGGGCTCAAGACATTATAGACCTCCTGCCCAAACTAATCCCACCAGCCTTTTCCCTCTTCTTTTGGAATACAGAAACGCTATGAGGAGAGGAACCAAGCAATGGCAGAATACTGTCAGGTTGGGAGAATGATCCATGGACCTTTGCAGGAAAACAAAGCCCAGACCACTCACTAATGAAGAGGTGTCGCCTTCCCTGCCAGCTGTCCCCCAAGCTGTGTACAAAAGGATGGTTGATCTGTCGCTAGAGACAAAGAAAAAAGCAGATTAGGAAAGAGCAGGCTCATTGATGATAAAGACAGCCAAGAAACCAGGTGATGCCTTGTATAGAAATGAACTGATGAGAGTTCATTTGGGACTACCTACCTAAGAACCCTGGAGTCAGCACACTACTAAGGAGCATGCCAATGCATGTTGTCGAGTTCCCTAGCAGAACCTGGAGTGTGTCTGCAGCTATAACTACTTTTCTCAGGTTTACTTTGGTGCTACATTATACCAAGATGGAAACACGGGGAAGGTAGAGCCAAGAAAAGCAGGTAAGTTGGACAAAGGAAGGGACTTTCTCCACCAGCAATTTAGTTCTTCCAACAATGATTCCAGAATTCTGCATACCTGGATGCTAACCTCCTCTTTGCACTGCCTTAGGGTATGCTGCTGTAGGACTTTTACTTTGGGCACCACCTACAAATGGAGAGGCATAGCTCATGGAAAATAATGCTGTCCAATTTATTCCTCCTAATCTCTGAAACTAAGATTTTAAACAATAACTACTGAGTAAGGGGAATATCTAGACTCCTACCTTCACTGCAAATACAGCTTTCTGGGCACAATCTAGCACTTTCAGGACAGTTCCAAAAGAGCCTTTAGCCACAAGGCCTAAAATCTGAACAAAGAAATGGAGAAGAGGGTACCTCAGACTGGTTGTTCCTAGATTCCTCCCAAAGACATACTTCCCAGGGACTCCAGTGACCTACCTTCAGCTCCTGCTGCCCCCTAACAGGCCTCATGGGAAACTCTGGTAGAAACAGGCTGATGGACTGAGGCACTGGCCACTCAGACAGAGGCTTCTCTAGTGGCAGCGGGGCTGGCTGGAGGGGCTGCTGATGTAGGCCCTGATGCCTCTCAAGTTCCCATAGTTCTTCCAGACCTGACCTGACGGTCCCCATACCACACCAGAGGCTCTTCCAGCCTTGGGCCCGGGGACCCTGTATGTTGCCACCCTGCTGAAAAGGTAGCCATTCTAAGTCTGCTCAATGAGGCACTACAGGGTGTTTTCTTGTTTTTTTGAGACAGGATTTCTCTGTGTAGCCCTGGCTGTCCTGGAACTCACAGAGATCCATCCATCTGCCTCTGTCTCCTGAGTGCTGGGGTTAAAGACATGCTCATCCACTGCTTGGCAGGCACTGCAGGTCATACTTGTCTTAACAGGTACTCCTTCCCCTTAAGTCTTAATCTCTAAAGCAGTGGTTTTCAACCCTCCTAATGCTGAGACCCTTTAATACAGTTCTTCATGTTGCGGTGACCAACCATAACATTATTTCTGTTGCTATGTAATAACTGTAATTTTGCTGTTATAGATTACAATGTAAATGTCTGAAACGTAGATTGCATGATGTGGCCCCAGTGAAAGGGCTGTTCTACCCCAAGGAGGTCATGACCCATTAAGAACCAGTGCTCCTGAGGGAAGGAAAATTCCCAGGCTTTGTGTTGTTGACCTAGATTTCCCCAACATAATTCAAAATCTTGATGACAGTAAGTTGTATGTTTTCTCCATGACAAATCAAGAAAACAACCCGTGCCTGGTTGGTTATTCAGAAAATAGCCTCTATGCTCACACCCCCACACTGACTACCAATAACAGGCTAACTAGGCACTTTCTGGCTTCTAGCCCATACCTCCTTCACTTTCCATTCATAGGCAGCCATACCCTACCTTTTGAGGAGCAGATACCCGGGTGTGTCGCCCCTGCCGACAGCTGACTGCTCCCATCCCCAGCCTCTGCCTCCTCTCCTTCCGCTAAATCTGCTGTCCTGGTTACATAAGCAATTCCTATCTCTGATGCTGTATTACCCAGAAGCCCCGCCTCTTCCAGTGTACATAGACCCATCAGCTTTAGGTCAACATCATACCAGGACTGGGAAACATCTAAAGCAGAGGAGGAAAAGGCCACAGTCGCCACTGTGGCAATTAAAAAATGGGTTGGGTTAGTGAGGAGGGAAGGACACAGACAACTTGAATGTTTAAGAAGCCAGCATCAAATTTAAAATATTTTTTTCTTTAAATCATTTTTTTTCCTCCATTCTCTAGGGCATACCCAGGGGGGAAAGGAAGGTACCCATGGCCAGCCCTGGCTCCTAATGCCATCCTCCCAAGTGAGCACACAGATTGGGAAGTTGACCCCTCCCCCCAACATTAACACTTTCATACAACAAGGCAGTGGAGTTAGGCACAGAGGATCAGATCCCTCCCCTCAGCTTACTGGCACAAAGGGAGAGCAATTATACTTAGAAATATATATATATATCATATATATATATATGTCTATTTATAAAAATTTATCATACTTGATCAAAACTATACCCCCACCCTTTCTGTTGCCCACACGAGCAGGATACTAGGCTTGGACACTCCATAGGCCTTCTGGTTCTCTTGCCTTTCTGGCCCTGGGCCTAATAAGCATGAGGGAATTTACATTTTGTCCACCATGCCCTGCAGGGACAGGCCAGCTGTTGAATATGTCTCAGTTCCCTATAAGCTCCATAACCCCCAAATCCCATGGCATAAAGGAAAGCTCTGCCCACCCCCAAGTCCCCAGGTCCTGAGCCAGAATCAGATCCTAGACTGCAGTCACATGGCTCTCCAGATCATTTGCGCCTGCTAAAGATGGACTTCTTGCCAGGGTTCTTGTCTCCCACACTTAAACCGATAAGGAGCCGCGCTTTCGCCTCTTCCTGCTGTTGCAAGTTCAGGTCTGATTTTGTTTCTAGCTTTCCTCGGACCTCAGACCCTGTTGCAGGTTTCAACCGTAGCTTTTCTTTGATTACCTGGTAAGTGGAAAGGAGTAAAAGGCAAAAATATTAGTGGAACAGGCTGAACAATTCAAACCGAACCAATTCAAAATTTTATTAAGCTTACATGCAGAGCACAAGAAGTGTACAATCTAACCAGAATCCATAAAGCCCTTGGTTAACAGCAAACATCTTATCATACTGTGGCAACGTTAAGGATGAAAAGAGGACAAAGTCATTTTACTGTCTGCCCTGTTCTTGGCTATCTTTTTAATATAGTATATTAAGAAGGCAATTTGTTTGCCAATCCCTGCTAACGAAACAGCCATGAGCCCTGGCGGGATACCTGGGCAACCAGAGCTTTTCGACTGTCCCTTTTGACAGCCATGGCAAAGTCCAGCCATGTCCACGTGTTGTTGTGGTACTCCAGACAGGGTAGCACCAAGTTAAGGTCACCCCAGTCCACACTGTTCTTCTCACCCTGCAAAAAGGAGAGGAGGGAAAAATATCAGTTGCCATTTTGAATCTAAGCCAGTACTTGGAGTAAATTCCTACAGACTGGATTTCCCCTACTCTGTTCTAGAATGTGCTGGGATGAGAAATACCTTATAACTGACACACAGTGGAACTTGTGGGATTTTTATGTATATGAAGGAGTTGTTCATGGCAGCTCTCTCTTTCATTTTGTCAATATCATCGACTGGGTGCTAGGAGAAACAAGAAAGGAGTTGTAAGTCTCTAAAACCAGAAGAAACCAAATATCCTAATAGTACTCCATCTTCTTAATTCTAGAATAGACTCAAAGAAGAGAAACACCCAGCCACGTCCAACAGGACTTTCTCTGTACACCAGGCTGCCCTCGAACTCACAAAGAACCATCTACTTCTGCTGCTTGAGTGCTGGGACTAAAGGCAGCACACTACCACCTGGCCATAAAATGATTTTTAGTTTCTGAGGGTTTCTTTTGCCTTTTGAGACAGGACTTTGTATGGTCCAGGCTGCCCTTCAACTCATGATGTCCTAACTTCCACATTCGGTTTTCAATCTTTAGGGATGTGCCATACCTCAGGTAATTTGCGAAATGATCTTCTGACCCCAGAACTCCGGGTCAAGCCCTGTGCTCCACCCTTCCCAGGGCCTAGTGGTACTGCATCATCTGTTGCTATCAGCTGCCGAGGCTTCACTACTGGTATTCCAGTTGTCACCAGTTTAGACTTATCCTCTTCATCACCAACATCATCATCTTCCACATTTCGACCAGGAAAGAAAAAGCCCATCATCCTATGGAAGAACTGGTGTGACAGCTGGATGGTGAGAGGCACCACATTCACCTACAAGGGCATGATGAGATGAAGAAGCACTTAAGCTCAGGTGCTATGTCTTTTATTACTATCCAGTGTAACCGTTTTTAGTGTGAAAAGCCCTTTGACCCTGGGTTCCCAAGGAACTATTTACGAACCTCAAAGTGTTCCTTAACAGAGATACCCCCAACAGGTGGCCGGACTTTGCTGAAAAGGCGGAGGGCAAGCTGTCTCCCCGACTGGCAGGAACTCTGGGGCCGCAGAACCACCTATAGGAGAGAGTGAACAACAACTCTACTAAATGCCCTCTCTAAAAATCAATCCACAAACCTTCTATAGGAGAACTGAAGCCAATGGTCTTGCTAAAGCTACCATCTCAGATCACTTCTTATGAGTTGATATGAAAGACCATCACAAATGCTCTACATATAAATGGGCTTGGAATGGGGAAATAGGACTTCCTGTATAGATGTGGGAATGTATATTAGTAGAGTGCTTGGCTAGAATGAACAAGGCACTGCCTAAATTCCATCTTCATAAGAGAGAGAGAGAAAACAGAACAAAATAACTTGCCTTATAGATGGCATTGGGGAGAAGGTTGTTCATAGTGAACCAGCCCAACTCCAGAAGATGTTCTGCTGTGTCATCAGATTTATTCACCTACAAGACAGATTTTTTTTCCCCCTTAGGAACTTGATAAAGAATAATCTCTATATGCTATATATTACTTAATATATAATATATATCCTTAATGTATACTAATCTAACCCACTGATTTCAAGTAAGGATTCCATAAAGCAAACTACCTGTGGCTGGCTTTGAGCTCCTGATCCTACACATCTGGAATAATGGGGTTATATGAACACACCATCACAGTCTATCAATATGTCTGTCAATCTCATATACAATCTACAAATCCTCTAGTGTTTCTCTTGAGTAATACTAGCTAAACCACTAAATGCTAATACTTCCTAGTTATTGTGTCATTTCTCATTCATTTCTAAAATCCCTTGTAATATTCTTTCCCCTTGTAGGAAAATTAATTCCTCTTTTTTTTTTTTTTTTTTTTTTTTTTTTTTTGAGACAGGGTTACAGGGTTTCTATGTGTAGCCCTGGCTATCCTGGAACCTGACCTGTAGACCAGGCTGGCTTCAAACTTAGGAGATCTGCCTACCTCTGCCTCCTGAGTGCTGGCTGGGATTAAAGGCATGCACCACTACCACCTGAGCTGATTAATCTTACCTACATTAATTTGTTACAGGACAATGTGTCTCTAATCATGATCATCATACAATTAGCCTCTTTTTTTTTCCCTCCATGGATTGAACTCCTGGGATAGGCTAAGGCTTCCAACTGGACTGCTGCTGTATGACTGTGCACCCCAATACCTTGCTGTAGAGGAATCTCTGTAGCTCCAGCTCAGCGATTCCCAGCTGTCCGTCTTCCTCGGTCAGGCGCCAACGTGCCTGAGCAAAGTAAAACTCAGTGCGACGGACCACACTCACATCTTCCTGTTGCTTTCGCAGCTCCATTTTGTTGGCCCGCTGCAGTTGGAAATCCTTAAAACATCTGTGGATGAATAGGAAAGCCAAATGAGTAAGGGAAAGAACACATAGGCAGGAGTCTCCCATAGTGCTGTAGGCTCTAAACCCAGAGACTAACCTCTGACTTAGTGCATGTCTAATTTTTTTTCACTGATGCATTGTTTCTGACATTCTGAGCTATGGAACAGAAAACCTATCTTTTAGTTCTATAGCTTCTTCCCATTAAATCCCATGATTACATCTTCAATATTGTTCTTTTTTTGTTGCTGTTTTGAGACAGGGTCTCTCTGTAGGCATGGCTCTCCTGCAGGCATGGCTCTCCTGCAATTTGCTCTGTAAACCAGGCTGGCCTAGAACTCAAAAGTGTGTGCTATCACTGCCTGGCTTTCAATTTTGTTGTTTATTAATCAGTTATAA